AACAATTTTCATATGACAGATCGAAAAATGTTTAACACCCGAGGGATGAAAAATTTTTTGCAGTTTCGTCAGTTTTGTTGGCAGTTCTGGATAGCTCCTTATGAGTTCTAACGATAGTTATTAGTACTCGAAAATATAAAATCAACACACACACACGCACACCCACACACTCACACAGGGATCAGACCTCCGCTACATCACGTCCTGCATGTTTATTCACGATATTATTTGTTTTTTCGGTGTCTGTTTCCATTCTAGTCGCCATTTTGGGTTCGCCATTTTGAATTTTCAAAAAGGCCATACGTCATCGTAAACTAGACATTTCAATGAAAATTTTAAGCCCTTTTAAAGAATTTTATCTAAAAAATTGAAATGGGCAGGGGGTGGCCGATTTGACAGAGAACGCCCCATATATATATATAAACTATTGTTATATAAATTTATTTCTTTGCCCGAATACTCATTTATAATATTAATATATTTTTTTATTTTTGGTCTTTCTTTTTTCATATTTAACAGTACAGTTTCCTCTTCGTCACTGCTACTACTACTACTTTCCAAAAGTCCAGTTAAAATTATCTTCTTAATATCACCCATTATTTTTACTTTTTATCTTTCACCAAACTGCACTGCCAAAATTGGTCGTGTAATAAATGTTGCACTCGTACAGTTTATTTTGTGTGTCTGAATACACAATCAGTCCTGCACTAGTTTAGTGCAATAGTCAGGGTGTATATCAGTAGGACACGGGGCAATTGGACACAGTCCAATTACAAGTCGCTGTTCCAAGGGACCCTACAAATGTCTCTAATCACACGGTGCTGTGATTGGCTGTGTCCAAATGCACCGTGTCCAAGTGCACCGATAGTTATCGAACACGACACAAGAGGCTTGTTCTTTGTAGCTGCACTACTGAACTAGTGCAATAAGTTAGAGTGAGAAAACGTATATTTGTTTCACTTCAATATATTGCACCAGTTCAGCAGTGCGACTACAAAGAACAGGCCTAATGTGTGTTCTATACTAGTGTCATCTAACCGAATACGACGAGTGCAATGCACTGAACAAGAGGGCATCAGTCGAATACGTTGCACCGGGAAAATTCGCTTTCAGTGTACACTAGTGTACACTAGTGCAAGCGACCGAATTCGCTATTTGTTGCTCGAGGCGTTGTGAGCGTTAAGTGGACCAAACTAACCAACCAAATGCAACCTGAGAGTCAATTCTGTATCTCGAAACGAAGTGAAAATTACAAAAGTGAGCACATTCACTAGGCACTGACCAATGAAATTACGAATATTCTAGTATATTTGCTCACTTTTGTAATTTTCACTTCGTTTCAAGATATAGAATCGACTCCCTGGTCACTAAACGAAAAAAAAAACGCCTTAAGGGCCGTAGCACACAGAAAAACTTAAGCAGTAAGACGTAGCAGTGAGCAAATTGACAATCACAGTTGTTGATTCTTCTTACGGTCCAAGAATCAACGGCTGTGATTGGCTAATTCGCTTACTGCTTATGCTTAGGGCTATCGCACACAAATTGACATAACTGCATATGCATAGCATAAGATCGTATGGACCAATGAGCATCGAATATTAAGCATCGAACACCAATATGGCGACTTAATACTCGATGCTCATTGGTACATACGGTCTTATGCTATGCATATGCAGTTATATCAATTTGTGTGCGATAGCCCTTACTGCTTAAGTTTTTCTATGTGCCACCAGCTTAACCCAGGGTCAGTCGAACAGCTATCAGCTAAAAATATATATGATGTCGCGTAATCATTTCCTTAAACAATTAATTTTTATAATAACATTTTATTGTATACTCATTGTTCAAACAATTGATTTCATGACTAAAGTATAAGTACGGATAGTATATACTTCTATTCTTCTTAATTCTTGAGTTAGTTATTTCAGAGTCATGAAAATATAAACTATCATGTTAGGGTGCGTTTGAAAACACTAAAAGTCCACGACGGAAAGTGGCTGTGGTGGATGGGCTTGGGGTGCGTTCG